TATTATCAAAAAAGGGTGTGGAAATATCAATTCCCATAATATATAGTTACCCTCCATTGTCTGCTAAGTTTTCACCTAATGTCAGACGACCATTTAGATGTACTGGAACACCATTCGTATCGTTTACAGTAAATTTTGAATATTGATTAACAAAACACTCCGCTTTTTCTTTAAAACTTTCAACAGTAGCATTAGACCACCACTATAACACAATGAAATAATATAATTAATTAGATGAAAGAATTAAGATTAGCGAAAATAATATGTACATACTTGAATTAAACGGCCAGTCGCATCATATTGTCTTCCATTATTATCAAATCCATGCTGTCAAAACAAAATAAATATCAATGCTAAAAAAAATTTCATAATACTATTATATTAACAAATTGATACGAACCGTGAGTTCATGTCCAATCACCGTACCGATAGCACCATAATTTATATATTCTGGCGCTTTGGAACTGAAGAATGGAAATTGAAGTATCCCTTGATATTACAAATTATATTAATAATTAATAAATAAAATAACATCCTTTTATAATAACAAAAAAAAAAGGAATATAAATTTTTTTGTAATACCAGCTGGAAATACGATCTCATTTACGGTAGGATTCTAATAAAAGAAAAAAAAATCAATATTACACGTAACATAGAAACAATGAACAGTAGCTTATACAATATAATCTTACATAGTAAGCATTAACAGTCTGAGGACTCATATACCAACTATAACGATTTACTGGTTGACCCAATTCCTTCCATTGTTTTTCAGATCCCCATAAATAAGAACTCAACAAATTATCAAAATAGTTATCCTCATCAAATTTTATATCTCTATAATAATCTTGAAGGCTTCGTGGGTTTGTTGTGTTAGGAGATTTTATAGGATACCCGACTTTTTGAATTATAGCATCAACCTACGATAAATGTACATACAATGTCATATAAGTAACATATAAAAATATTAAATGTTCAAACTATTCTCGTTTACCTTTTCAATAGCTTTTTCACGAGTTTCAGCATCAAGCCAATCTAGATCTGGTAAACGATCAACAAATGCATCTTTAATAGAGTCGATCATTTGGTTTGCTATATCTATACTGCGACCTATAAAATATATATATATTAATAGATAAGAACAAACAAAATAAATTTAAAAAAGAAAACAAAAAAACATACCACCAAAAGCTTTCAAAACATAATATCTTCCAGCCATAAAACCTAATGTTTGATCAACCGAGCTAAGACAAACCTCCCATCTTTTCGGTTTTACGTTTTCATCAACACCTCTTAATTTTGCCTTTAATCTTCGTAAAGGGGCTTGAAATTTTTCATCCAAACTATTAGCATGCCTCGCAATAATCTGCCAAGCAAAATAAGCTTGTAAAATTGGTGGAGGGGTCTTTCTTACAAGATTCGAAAGATTTTCAAAATATTGATTTGATGTCAATATTATTTTTGATGGAAGATCTGGAATGGTAGGTGGTAAAAGGGAACTAATATAGTGCGACCAAAAGAAAGTTGGGCTAAGCTTTTCAAGAGATTTTATAGTATGTTTATTATAAGTAGCTTCAGGATCATTAAAATCTTCACTAAAATTTTTTAATAAAAATATTTTAGATGAAAAAGTATTAGTAAAGTAAAGAAGAATATTTTAAGTACCATTAATCTATAATAATCATTATTATAACTTACGGTGATAAAGAAATTTTAGCTAAAGCCTTTTCAAATTCTATAATTTTATCAGCAATCTCCTCCCAACCTCTAAGCCAAAATCTTTCTATGCTATATTCATAAATATCTTCAATTGCATCATTAGATATCGTGTAACCCATTTCAATAATAAAATTACTTCTATTATCTAACGCTCTTCCTAACAATTCAGCCATTACACTCTTATATGTTACCATAATGTGTTCCTCTTCATAATATTCTTTAGAGGGCAGAACAAGACCACTTTGAGATAAATATAAGACGTTTTCTTTCGGATTTTTTGCATCAGCATCGACATAAAATCCAAGTAATGGTTGTACATCGATAGTGGACAAATTAGATAAAGTATTTGTTAAATTAAGTAGATCAAGAGGTGCAGCTTGTTGAAGATTATCAAGTTGATGACCAAAATTATTAAACAAAGAAAATCTATTTTCAACAGGAAAGTTTTCGAATAATCGATTTAATATTGGTACCAAAGGTGCACCTCCAAGTTGAGAGATATGATCCTCATTCATACAAGATTTATAAAACGATTGAAGATTATAAAAGTTTTTTTTATCAATTGATACAGATGGGGATGGTAATCCTGCTGTCTCAATTGATGGAAAATCATCCTCCTCTAAAATTCTTTTAAGAAGTTCCTACATAAAAAAAAAAAAACTTGATTAAATCATTATAAATAAATATATATATATATACTAAAAGTTTATAAATAACATGAGAAGACGTTACCTGATTTTCTTCATACAATATATCAAAATAACCATAACGTCCTTTATCATCAGGAATTATGTGTTTTTTAAGCCATCCTCCACCTATAACCCGGAAATAAATTTAGATATATAATAAGATATAAAAGAATTAAAAGAATTGAACTTACAGCTATATTGGAAAAAATCTTCACACGGATCGGCAGTTTGATCCATATCTTCAATTATTTTACCAGCGATTAAAACACAATCTGGTGTTAAACAAGGTCCCTACAATTAAATTTCAAACGATTGAATAAAAAAAAGTTGTCTTTACAAGAAGCATACACAGTGCCTAGCTATAAAATTCCGATATAATGACCCGAAAAGCTTTTTATAAATATTTATCTTTGTGTAGTAGGAGAATAAAGTATTCACTAATTCTTCGCACGTTAATCATTTTATTTGTTCAATGTATTAGAGTCAGTGTTGTCACTGGAAGACCAAGGCCACTGGAAGAAAATTAATAGTGTCACTGGAACTTAAAGTTCCAGTGGCACTATTGATTTAACTTCCAGTAGTCTTCCAGTGACAACACTGTATTAGAGTATCCAAGAATTTGTAGCATCTAAAAAATGCCAGATTTTATTGGACATTTCTTCCACGAGTTATATGAATCCAATAAAATTCTTATAATTTGTTATTTTAATGCTGCTAATTTTTGGACACTCTATTATGTATAATTATTTTAAACGTACGTATGAAGAACTATTATTACAATTAATGTCAATACATGTATATTAGACACTTCGATTCATGATATTAATGATAATTGTATAAAGTTCAATTTTTATACATTCATCCAAAACAAGTTTCAGATCACAGTACCAGTATTTATGGATAAGCATTATACATAAACTAAATTTGAATACCTTTTTAGTATCATTATTTGGTGGTGGTAATGGCGGCTCAGATGGAGGTGGAGGTGTAGATGGTTGTGGATCTGGACTCATGTGTTTATTGGTCTTTCCACTTACATATAAACCAGCAAAAATACTCATTAAAATTAAAAGAAGAAGACATGTGAAAGCCAGCATAATTTCTAATCGAGTGAATTTTCCATGTCGTAATGGAAGGAAATTTGTATGATCGCGTGGAGCTTCACGAGTGCGTGGAGCGCGCGGCTGCGGTGGTTCTGATGAAGTGCCACCAAAGTTGCTGCTACCACGAAGAGTCTCTTCGTCATCAGGGTCATTAGGAGTTCGAGCATCCGTAAGTAAAGGCTCGGTCTCTTCAAAATTAGAATGACTCATTTTTCAATAATCGCATTTATCAATTTATCAAAAAAAAAAATTTTTTTCTATTTTTTTTTTTTATATACAAAGTTACAAACACAAAAGAAAGCGTTTGCGTTGATCATTATAAACTTGTATGGTGATTAATAACATTAAAAAGGTTTCACTAATGCACGTTTATAATTACATAACAATTGTCATAACTTATTAGGAATAATGTTTGATAACGATGGAATTTTAACATCATAATAAACAATAAGGTCTCATGACCAGCAAAAAAGGAAATTGATTTAAAATTACTAAAACATTTTACTCATATGACCTTAAATGTCAAGCAAAAAAATAAAAGAAACCAGTTATTTTTTAATCTATATCATAATTCACCTAATCCTTATTTAATGCAAACTTGAATTGCTATTCAGGATTATAGTATTGCTTTAACAGGTATTCGCTTATATGTGTAAAATACCTGACCGTATTTTCAGGAGTCCTGATGTGGACAGAATAAAAAGGATGAGGGCGGATATCGATGATAGTTGTTTGAGGTTGATTCATACAAGTCAAGAATCTATCCCCCTATAGCGATAGAAATAGTAAATTTTTAATTTAATCAGCGATAATCGGTAGATAATGCAGTAATGTAGATCGGTAAAAATTTTAAATTTTAACCTTTCGATGTGTATGATCCGCAGTTTTATCTCGAGCAAGTTCAGGTTGCAAATTGATGCGATCTTTGTATCTGTCAATTAATTCTTGAGAAACTACCAGTTATATAACGATAATAAATCATTGCGTTATAAATATATAAATTAGTGAATTTGAAAACTCAAAACATCTCTAAAATAATACTCAACTGTTTCCAAACTGTTCGATGTTTCCCTCAGGCATCAAGACAAAAACAGAACTAGATTGAAATTTAACACAATCATCAATACGACCACCTTTTTTCATAACCTCTCCAAATGAATCATTTCGATGACGTTCATGTTGAAACTCTGGAAATTTTTCTTTTGCCTCATCAGTTTTGAATTGATCAAAGTATTCCTGAGAGATGTTGGAATAAACTTCAATCTGATTCGAGGGTAACCTCACATGGACACTAAAAAGTCAAAATTTAGTAACAATATCAAATCTAGAGAGATAATAAATATATTTCATTTATTTATATTACGTGTAATTTCCTCGCTTATTCTTATGATATTCAGTGATAACTCCGCCATTTTGCATACATCTCAAAAACTTGCTCTTTTTCCATTCGACAGCCTCGGATAATTCTTCTTCGCTAGTATCCGAAGTTGTTTCTTGAAATAATTCTAAAGCTTTTTCTTGAGGTACATTTTTTGCTTCAATCGGAAAACTTATATTCGGGATGTCCTTTTCGGCACCATCTGGCATCCTAACACGAACTGTGTAAGAATTTGGTTGAATACTGACGATATGGCCACCTTGAGATATGCATTCTTGAAGAGAGCTTGCTTCCATCATCATTATTATTGTCGCTTCTTTAGATAAAGAGTTAATCTGCTTTAGTTATCATGATTCAGTTTGATAGTTTATAAACCAGGATATATCTCGTAATAATTAACCCATAGTTACATCATTTTTTTAGTATAATATGGTGTGATTAGACTAGCTTTTATTAACAAAATTTAACATTTGTGAGGTCATATTATTATTAATATAATAATATAATAAAAAATAATAATTAAAATAAAAAATTATTATATACAAATTGTTTTTTCTATTATTAATCCTAGAAATATCATGGTTAATAATCTCCTGTCCTGAAAGTTACTTAGTTTTATGACCGAGATTCTTAAATCGCTTGAAGTTGTAGGTTTTTTGAACTTAAACAAATGCACTCAGTGTTGGACGATGATGTCATGTAATGACATGACTTATATGATTTGTCATATTACAATATCATATGAAGTGTCATATATTAATAATATGACATGATCTATATCATATGGCATATAATTCATATGATTCTATATCATATGAAAATATCACATGACATTATGATATTGTC